GGGGGCACAGGACCAAGCGGTCGCAGACCTACCCTGACGAGCTGGTGTCGACGATGGCGTCCGCGGCCGAGGGCGTGGCGTGGTGCCACCACCATCTGAGCGGCTGGGCCGGCTGGAGTGACGAGCAGGTCGAGGCTCCCGACCGTCTCGAGCCCTACTTTGGTGGACCTCCGGCCAGGTCTTTTCCTGAGGACGGGTCCCCGGACGACGAGTCCGACGAAGACGTTCCGGAAACCTGGAAGGGTCCTCGAGGCCAACCGAGCGCGGCCCCGGGGACCGAGACCAATTCGGAGGCGACCCTGGATCCCGACTTGCAGCGAGAGGTTCATAAGCTCCATGTGAACTTGGGCCATCCGGCCCTTGCCGACTTTCTCCGGACCCTCAGGGTTGCCCGGGCGAAACCGGAGGTCCTCGATTGGACCAAGAACCATTTCAAGTGCGGGGCGTGTGACTCTCACTCCAGGGCTCACTGGCGTCGACGCGCCCATCTTCCGTGCACGTATGAGTTTAACAAGCTCGTGGCGCTTGATCTCTTTTACCTAGAGGTGGAGGGGGCTAGCACACCAGTGTTGAACGTTATTTGTCACGGCACAAATTATCAGCAAGCGTGCCTGCTCCCTAATGACTCAGCTAAGGCCACGTGGAAGGGCTTCCTCCAGCTCTGGGTGAGGCCTTTCGGTCTGCCCGAGGTGCTGATGTCAGACGGTGGGGGGGAATTTGATCGCGAGTTCGCTCGGGGCTGCGAGCATCTTGGCATATTCCATCAAGTGGTTCCAGCTAACTCCCCTCGCTACAACGGTCGCTGCGAGCGACACGGGGGAATTCTCAAGGACGTGGTTTCCAAGGCCTCTTTGGCCGCGAGTCCGGGGTCCCGGGATGAGGTCGAGATCCTCCTCTGCGAGGCGGTCGCGGCCAAGAATAGCACGTGCCACCGGGGAGGCTTTAGCCCAATCCAGATGGTCCTTGGTAGGGCTCCCAGGGTTCCACGATCTCTTTTGTCCGATGATGAGCTGGATTTGGTTGGCTGCGAAGATGTGCTCGGAGGCACCTCCCAGCGGGACTCGGCTGCAGCTGAGTTTGCCCGGAGGCACGTTCTTCGCCAAGAGGCCCGCAAGGCTATGGCGTCCCTGGACGCGAGGTCCAGGCTGTCGGAAGCTAGTCGTGCGAGGCTCCACGCCGAGCGATTTTTCAAGCCTGGAGAGTGGGTGTACGTGTGGAGGCGAGTGACGGGGTCGAACCGGACTCACTCCTTGCAGCGGGACCGCTGGACGGGCCCAGGAGCGGTCGTGTACCAAAGTCGAGGGACGGTGTGGGTTGCCATGAGGACGCGGCTCCTAAAGTGCTCCGAAGAGCAGGTGAGACCGGCTACGCGCCAGGAATCCCTCGGCGCCGAGTTGCTGGATTCGGCTCGTTTTGATGCCCTGCGGGAAGAGATCCGGGCTCCTGGACGTAAGACGGGGGCCATAGATGTTGCTGCTGAGGGACCCCCTCCCCCCGAGGCCTGGGACGGTCCGGATGCTGGCGAGCGTGCGGCTCCCAGTCCCGAGACCCGAGTTTTGAATCCAGCCGAGCCTGCTGCCTCGGCCCCAGCTGCCGCTGCCTCTGTGCCTGTGCCTAGACCTTCTGAGGTGCGCGCGGAGGCGCCGAGCCGCGACGAGACTGTGGTTCGAAGCTTCGGAGCCGTCCATGGCGAGGGCCACGAGCGGCTCCGAGCTTGATCGATCGGAGCCGCCCTCTTCGGTGTCTAGAGGCCTGAGCAGGACTCTCGGTTCCGAGGTGGAGGACCGCTCGGTCCGAGCTCGTCTGACCCCAGTCGAGAGCGTGGTGGGCCAACCGGCTCGCGTGGCGACGATGGTTCGAGAAATCGAGGCGGTGCGAGCTGCCGCAGGTTTGCCCCCGGGACCCTCGCCAGATCATCATCCATGTCACGTGTACGGACGGATCCCCAGACTGAGGTCAGTTTCAGTACCACGGGCTCGGCCCTCAGCCAGAGCCGAGCCGTTCCCGACCGCGGGGCCACCTTCGGCCGCGGCTGCTGCTCCCGCTCCCGCTTCTTCCAGTCCCTCCCCTCCTGAAGGAACTGAGGCGCACTCGGATCTTCCACCAGAGCTTCGTCAAGCGCTAGACGCGCCGGCTCCTCCCCCTGGGCCCCAGGATTTGGGAAGGTTTGTGACGAGGACCCCAGAGGGTTTCGAGGGGCTCGCGAGCGAGCCGGACGAAGTCCAGGACGAAAGGCTGTTGGAAGAGCTGCGCCAGTGGTCCGGCATGAGGGGTGCGCCCAACTATGTGGCGCTGTTTGAGGACCCAGGGGCTTTCTCGGGAGCGGCCACGGTTTCGGGTTCAGGCAAGGTTTCCAATCCCCGTGGAGCCGAAGTTTCGCTGAAAGATCTGACGCCTGAGGAGAGGGCTCAGTTCGTTGACTCCGACCTCGCCGAGTGGGAAGCGATTTTGGCTTCCGGGGCGGTGCGCGTTCTCACTCCTGACGAGGCCCGACTGGCTCGCAGGCGCCATCCGGACAGAGTGCCGTCGTCCAGGATGGTCCGCCGTTGTAAGCCGATGGAAGGGGTCGGGGCCCAGGCGAAGGCTAAATCGAGATGGTGCGTCCACGGCCATCAGGACCCGGACGGCGAACACCTTTCGGTGTACGCACCGACACCTCAGACGGAAAGCATCCTCGTCACACTGCAGGTCATCGCCTCGATGAACTGGGTTTTACACGTTGCCGATGCGAAAAACGCCTTCTGCCAAAGTAACCGGCTAGAACGTCCCAACGGGGCCATTTATGTTGAACCCTGTGCCGGTCTTAACCTTTCCCCCGGATCACTTATCGAGCTGGTTGCTCCTGTGTACGGACTCAACGATGCGCCATTGCTATGGCATCGCACGATCACGGATTTCTTGGTGTCTCTCGGTTTCGAGAAATCATTGTTGGAGCCATGCCTGTGGCTGAAGCGGGCCAGGTTGGGAGGGCTGGAGGCCCTAGTGCTCATAGAAGTGGACGATCTTATAGTTTCTGGGGAGCCGAAAGCTTTGGCTGCCCTGAAGCGTGCCCTCACGGATCGATTCAAGTTCGGGAAATGGAAAGAGCGTGAGGCTGACTATGCCGGGAGACATATCTCCCAGCTGTCGGATCGGATAGTGGTTGATCAAGAGAAATACATCAGAGAACAGCTGTCTTTAATGTTCCTGGGGAAAGATCGTCGTGTTCAAGTGGACTCCCCGCTCTCGCGAGACGAGATCAGCTCGTATCGCACCGTGGCCGCTCAGGTGCAGTGGCTGGCTCGGGAATCTCGTCCTGACGTGGCAGGCTCTGCGTCTTTGCTGGCGGCAGCGTTGCCCACCCCTTCTGTGGCAGATGCGCTAGCACTGATCAAGGTTGTGAAATTCTTAAAAGCGTCACCGGAGCAGAGGTTGACTATTTGGAACCTCGACCCTGCTTCGGTGACTTTCGTCACGGCCAGCGATGCTGGTGGCCCCGGTAGTGCTCGTAGGGGGGGTGCCCAGGGAGCGTGGCTTATCATGGCCGCGGACTCTATTATAAGAGACAACAGGCGAGCTCGGGTGAGCGTGTTAGCTTGGCGATCCTTGAGGATCAAGCGTGCTGTAGCTTCCACGGTGGCGGCGGAGACTCTGGCTCTGTCAGGGGCCACCGGGGAGGCCCAATGGATCCAGGTCCTTTGGAGGGACGCGGTGTTTGGAGACGTTCCCCGTCCCTCGTGGTTTGAGGGCCAGCGACCATTCACGGTCATGTTGGCTAGGGATTGTTGTCTGGGGGAAGCTGCCTCGGGTCTCTCGGTCGTGGACGCAAAGTCGGTCTTCGACGTGCTCAGTCGTAACTCAGCCGGCTCTAGAGCCGACCGTAGGAATGCTGTGGAACTCGCCGTGATTCGGGACTCGCTCGCCTCGGTCGGTTCGCGAGTCAGGTGGGTCCCCCACGCCCGAATGCCTTCGGACCCTCTCACCAAGGTCGATCCTGTCTCGGGCAATCATGCCCTGAAAGATTTGCTCTCGAAGGCTTCGCTCGTGCTAGTAGATGAGCACGGGCATTTAGACGAACGGGCGTTGAACGCCAGCCTGAAGTCAAGATCACGTGGCGCCAGTAAAAAAATGCTGGACGCCGAGGGGTTGAGAGCTCCGGGCCCCGACGGGCCCGTCTGGATCTCTACGGCTAGAGACGGGGGTGTCTCTGCCTCCTTGTTTTGCGAGGGCGGAGGGGCCGTCCTCGGGAACTGTGCGGAGTTTTGTAGTTTTGATCGGTTAGGGTCTCCGACGACGACGACGGTGGTGGGGGCGACGTTGGCCGTGGCGACGACGGCGCCGACGCCGGCGGCCTCCGTCGACCCGCAGTGCCGCCCCCAGATCCTGGAACCGCACGAGGTGCGGGACCGGGTGCCGGGCAAGGCCGGGTCGGAGGAAGGAGGAAGAGGAGGAAACGGCTGGAGGAGAACGAGGGACCCTGGGGGTGAGAGCAGGTTTCAGCCCGCGAGAATTTGGCCCGCTGTCCCCCATCTCTAATTTGGGTCCCCCTCGTGCGTCTCTCGGGTCGCTCCCCTCTCCCGCTCCCCTCCGCTTCGGGCTTCACCGTCGCCAGCCTTTTAGGCTTAGTGCACCTGCGTCTCCTTTCCCCGTGCTGCTATGTAAAACATCCTGTCCCCACCCCAGTCTCTCAGTGCGCCATGCCCGACGATGGGGCTGACAGATGATGATGATGATGATGATGATGATGATGATGATGATGATGATGATGATGATGATGATGATGATGATGATGATGATGATGATGATGATGATGATGATGATGATGATGATGATGATGATGATGATGATGATGATGATGATTGGGAGGAGGAGGATGAGGAGGAAGAGGAGGAAGAAGAGAGGACATGCGAGGAGGAGGAGGAGGAGGAGGACGAGGATGACGAGCGGGAGCGGAGGCGAGGATTCATCGTTGCCGCAAGGAAAGATGAGCAGGAGCAGGGTAAGGACGGCGCTGACACGAGGCTTCACGGTGTCCACCGGCCTCGGGGCGAGCGACCGCGCACATGATGCGGCCACTGCCAGGTCAAACAGGAGAGCGTCGACGCACGTGGGCCACGCCAGGCACGCTGGGAAATAAGCCTCGCCCTTGTCCTTCTCGTCGCCCTCTTCGCCCAAGTCGTCGCACAGATCACTCAGATCGTCGTCCTCGCCTTCGTTCTCGTCTTTTTCTCCCTTGTTCTCGCCCTCGTCGTCCTCGCCCCTCGCCTCCGTCCGTTCTGCTGGCATGTTTCGGGGGTACCCCTCTCGATGCTTGACAGCGCGGCCAACGAATATCTGCTCCCGCGCTCGCCGATCCGATTCGATGTCGCCCGTGCCCGAGCGGCCAGGATCACATTGGCGAGTGTTGGCCGAGCCACCGGAGGCCTCCCGAGGCCTCCAGGGCAGCACCCATCCTAGGCAGGCCCAGGATGGGCCTCCTGGCCGGGATCGGTGTGCGTGTAGGGTCGCCCCCCCCCCCCCCCCAACCAGGCGCGGCGACTTTGCCCTGCCGGCGGAAGCGCTGGCCGTGCTCGTGGGCAAGAACAAGGCGACGATGGGAGAGCAGAGAGCGGGTCGGATGACAGAGGGAGGCTAGGGAAGGGCGGGGGGGCACGGCAGCTTCGTGCCGTGTCGACCGGCGACGACCCCGCCGCCGGCGTTCCACGTGGAACGCTGCCGGCGGCCCAGAATCGGTCCATGCTGAAGGATCTGGGCGTTTCGGGAACGGCCGATCGTTCGAGGCTGAACGATCTTCGCGATGTCGGGAACCAACGCCGGGTGATGGGCTTGTTTTCCACCACCACGACCACCATAAGTTGGAGGGGGAGGGGGTCCTCCTCCTCGTCCTCCTCCTCGTCGTCCTCCTCCTCCTCCTCCTCCTCCTCCTCCTCCTCCTCCTTCCCCCCTCCAATTTATGGTGGTGGTGGTGGACTGGGGTCGGTCGGCACGACACGGACCTGCCGTGCGACAGCTGCTCCTGCGGCTGGCTTCGCCTCCCCGCCACCGGGCGCCCGCCTCGATGCATTGGCGCCCCTGGTGCCGCGAGGCGCTGGGAGAATCAGCTCCGTGGGCCGATTCGCTAACCCCTCCTTTGCTTCAAGCAGTGGCGAAGCGTCCTGGCTCGCCTATAGGCCTACCAAACAATGTTCTAAGAACCTTCTGTGGTTTCCACGAAATGTTCTTAGAACATCTGGCTGAGACTGTCTTGTTCTAAGACATCGGGCTTATGTTCTAAGAACATTGTCTTTGTTCTTAGAACATTTTGGGGTTCTTAGAGAATTTCGTGGTAGGCCTATAGGAATGCCGGGACGGTCGGTCCCTGCTCAATTGCTGCGCCCCCCCTCTCGTCCGACCCGAAGAGTACGGAAACCTTCAGATCCAGGCGATGGAAAAAGCAGCGAGGGGAGGCTTTTCGTTGCGTTCGGCACGTGGGCAGTTTCCCGCTCCCACGCCGGCAAAACTTTTCGGGATGAGAGTCCAGCCTCGGGGAACGAAGCCCTGGGGGCCGACGTCAGCCACGAACGAATGGAAACGTCGGAGGAGCACAGGAGCAGAAGCAGTACAGCTGGGTCTGGTTAGTAGGTCGACCTTGCAGAATCAAGGGTGCCCTCATGTCCTGCCCATCGCGTCTCGTGCCCTCTCCGTGTCTGGGGCACGGGTTGCCCTCGGAAGAGACTGGTGGCATAGTCGCGTGCCTTCTGCAATCGGCCCCGGCTTGGCCACACCCACCTCAGGCCCCCAGATTGGCGCGTCGACTTTCGTGGCCCAGGCCGGGAGGGCTTGTTGGCGGTGCGGTGCGCAGAAGGGGGTGACAGGAGGGGGGCGGCATTCTGAGGACCCTTAGGAGGCTCTGAGTCCTTACGAGCCCTCCCGCCTTCGAAGGAACCTTATAAGGAGGAGGAGGAGGAGGAGGAGGAGGAGGAGGAGGAGGAGGATGAGGAGGAGGGAGAGGAGGAGAGGAGGGGGAAAAAGAGGGGGAGAGGATGAAGAGGGGAAAGCAAGGAGGAGGGAGCATGGAGGGGAACCATGCAGGGGAGGGAAGAGGGAGGAGGGAGGAGGAGCAGGGTCTGAAGCAGGAAGAGGAGTAGACGACGACGACGACGACGACGACGACGACGACGACGACGACGACGACGACGACGACGACGACGACGACGACGACGACGACGACGATCCCAGGACATGCAGGCGCGGAAGCGCCGCGGCTCCGTGAGCATAGGTGAGGCCGCCTCCGACGAGGAGGTCGCGCACGCCCTGCGGGACAGCGCCACCTGCCATGTTCATGGCTCCATGACCGAAGGCAGCGGCCGCCCAGGGCGTGCCCAGACCGAGGGGCGCGTGCGCAGGAGGAGGGAGGAGGGAGGAGGGAGGAGGGAGGAGGGAGGAGGAGGAGGGAGGAGGGAGGAGGGAGGAGGGAGGGGAGGAGGGAGGAGGGAGGAGGGAGAGGGAGGTAGGAGGGGGAGGAGGAGGAGGAGGAGGAGGAGGAGGAGGAGGAGGAGGAGGAGGAGAGGAGGAGGAGGAGGAGGAGGAGGAGGAGGAGGGAGGAGGAGGAGGAGGAGGAGGAGGAGGAGGAGGAGGAGGAGGAGGAGGAGGAGGAGGAGAGGAGGAGGAGGAGGAGGGATAGGAGGAGGAGGAGGAGGAGGAGGAGGAGGAGGAGGAGGAGGAGGAGGAGGAGGAGGAGGAAGAGGACCACTCACTGGGACCACTTATTTAACATTATATGCGGTCATGTGTCATGCCGCCTAAGACGAGGAACTGACGACGGGCACGATGGGTGCTGGTCGCCTGGCGACTCGCTGCCCCGCCGGCGATTCTCTGCAGCCATGGTTCACCCGACCTTGCTGGGGCTGCGCTGGCATGGTTCACCTGCTGACAGTTTTAAGTCGTATGCTCAAAAAACCGCAGGGCCAGCTTGGGGTGACAGCCGACGGGCACGTGCAAAAGGGGTCCTCGCTGGCACCGGGTGAGATAACTGATCTCGAACCCGAGGATCCCCGCCCGGGAGTGGGCGCGAGGCCCCCTGGTGTTCACGTGCCACAAGGCACCACCCAGAAATGCACGGTCGTTATTGCAGCTGACGCCGCGGCAATGGGCCAAGGTTCAGACCTCATTGACCAGGATGCAGGGGGGCCCAAACTCATCCCTGCCCAAAGAAAAAGACGGCCGCCTTCCCGCTCCCGCATCACATCCGTGGTACCTGACAGTGTGCCCCAGAGCAAGTGTGGCACTGACACCATGAGAACAGGTGCCACGCCCCCGCCCTGGGCAGGAGGAGGGTAAGGGTAAGGGTACATGCGCCGAAGCGCGGCCGACAGGCCGACGGACGACTGGTTCTGCTGCGCACTGTCAAACGATCGATGGGGGTGGCCCTCGCAGCCTCGCCCATCTTAAAGTAGCTTTCGCTGGACCTTCCTCGTCCATCTGCCTTGGAGGGCACTGGCAAGGGGCTGGCGCCGGGGCCGCCTCAGCAGGCCTCTAGCCCACGAGCTCCGCCTCCTCGGAGACTATGTCGGAGGCGTCGGCAGCCTGGGTGCGGGCCGCCTCGCGGCCGACACGGCGGACCTCCTCGAGGTCGTCCTCCGGGAGCCCGTAGCAGCGGAGCAGGAAGAGACGCGCCGCCCTCGGCTCGGGCCGCCTGCCCTGGGGCCCTGGCGCATCCGCCGGCGTGGCGGGAAGGCGCTCGTCGCCAGCAGCAGCGCGACGCCCGCCGCTCGCTGCCGCGGGCAGGTCCCCTTCCAGCTGGAGGTCGCCTGCGAGCTGCAGCTGCTCCTCGGGCCCTAGGGCAAAGGGCCCCTCGAGCGCTCCACCTTGTCTCCCCTTGCCGTAGTGGGGCCAGCGCAAAAGGCGCACCAGCCGTAGCTGCTCTTTGCCTGCGCTGGACTCCCGCCCTCGGCACAAGTTCTTGAGCAGCTTGCCGGGCTTGCGGCCCGCCAAAACCCCGCCGCACCGCAGGCAGAACACGAAGCGCATCTGGGGGTTTTCCGCCACTCGGCAGCGCAGGAGAGCGTGCCCTCTAGCCCTCCACGCGTGCCTGGCCAGGACCTGGTCGTCGAGGCCAAAGTGCAGCTCCACGTGCCCTGGGACGCGTCCCTCCTGGCTTTGGGGACTGGCAGCCGCGCCTCCGGCTGGGCCTGCAGGACCCGTGTCGCCGACCGGCCCGCTGCCCTCGCATGCATTCTCGGGGGGCTGCTCCTTTGCAAGGGCCATCTCCTCGCTGAAGTCGTCGACGCCGAAGCCGAAGGCGTCTGAGCCCTGGGAGGCTGCCCCATGCTTGGTATCAACTGGGGCCGCCGCCGCTTCCGGCGCGAGCGGCACGCCCCACCTGGACGGGCCTGCCACCGCCCCTGGGGCTGGGGCAAAAGGAGTGCCTCCGGCAGCCGAGGGGGGAATGGCATCCCCCGGAGCTGCAGCAGCAGCCGCCACTGCCTCCTCCTTTTCATCTCCTCTTGCCGCCTCCTCGTCCTCTTGCCTAGGCCGCTCTTCCCGACCGGCCTCCGCCTGGCTCTCCCTGACGGGAGCTTCACGCACGACGTCGCCGTCCGCGGCGGCTGCAGGGGCAGCGCCCTCGCTGAGTTGGGCGTGTCCGTGGGGCACATCCTCATGCCGCGGCCCCCCATCTTGGGCTGGTCCCCCCCCCTTTCACGCCCCCCTTCAGAAGGGGGGGCAGAAATGGTACAAACATTGCCCCCATTTTACGTGGGACAGGGGAATTGGTCCCTTGGACCTCCTTGTAGGGTCCTCTTGAGCCCCTCGCGGTGGCTCCTTGATTCCCTCATGAAGGTTACTTGGGTCCCATTAGGGGGACTCATTGGGACTTACCTCGCGCCCGGTGTTTCACCAGGCCCGGCCCAGAGCAGCCGCTTTGCACCGGTGAGCTGCCCAGCTCACCGGTGTTCTCACCTGGCACGGCGGCAACAGCCGCACTACACTGGTGGGCTGCCTAGCTCACCGGTGGCTTTTCCAGGCGTGGCCAATGAGCCCCACCTGACCCGCCGAAGCAGCCACCGTACTAGAACCGATCGCCACCGGGCGGGAGTAGTTTTGCCCCCCTCGGATTCTGAGTGCCGGCGGGTCCAGAGCTCGGAACGCACGTGGGTCGTGCTGACCCGCCCTACTTGCAAGCAAGTTTGTATAAGGGGGCAGCGAGCAGAATGTCCTTCACACGGGGCCCTCTTGTGAACGGATGGAGAGTACCCAACCGATGAGGACGGGAGGGGGGCCATGTAAATGAGAAATGCCTAGCCGACGACGTGCCCGGTGCGGAAGTACAACGCACTAGGGGTATAAGACAGAGACAGAGAGATCACGACAGAGACGGCGACGAGGAGGCGCAGTTTTCTCGCAGGAGAAAATAAATCGCACCCCAATGCAAGACGCAACGAAAATGTCACGAATTTCGTTGCTCCGAAGTGACGTGCGGCGCTATGCAGCACACTGGAAGCAAATACAACATGCGTGCGGTGCGATGCAACACAGCAAATATGACACACTGCGGCACCATGCAAACAGTGGCAGCAAAACGAAGGATGGGGGAGTTGGTGCGCTAGCGTCACATATAGGTTTACCGGCGGCGGAGTATAGGGGCATCCACCACCTATTTTGCACATGGATGGCGGCCGGGAGGGGACCGAAGCGGCGTCGGCGACGGCGGCGGGGGCCGAACCGAACGACCGAAGGACGAGGAGGTTGGGAGCGAGGCTGTCTGCTATCGCGGGAGTTTCCTCCGGCAGAATAGTCCGCTTGAGTCCCCCGATCCCCCTAATTCCTGGCTAACGCCAGTCGTGCAGCATTCCTGGCTAACGCCAGTCATGCGGAAGCGGGCCGAATTTCGCCTTGGCCGCCCCGACCCCTTGAACTGGCTGAGGCCTGGTTAGCTCCAGTCATGCAGCAGTCCTGGCTGACGCCAGCCGTGCGGAATCCGGCCACCGTGTAGCCGCCCCGACCCCTCCTGAGTAAGACGCGTTATGCGTTGTTCACCCCGACCCCCCCAGGGGAGTTGATCCCTGGCTAACGCCAGTCGTGCATCCGTCCTGGCTTACGCCAGTCGTGTGGACACAGGCCGGACTTTGGTCAGCCGCCCATCCCCCCCTGAACTAACGTGACTCTGGCTAACGCCAGCCATGCAGCAGTACTGGCTGACGCCTGTCGTGCGGAGGCAGCCGAACTACGAATCACCCCTCCTCCCCTTGAACTGATTCCTGGCTAACGCCAGTCATGCAGCAGTCCTGGCTGACGCCATTCCTGCGAGCGCAAGTCGAATTCTGGTTAACCGCCCCTACCCTGCCTGAACTAGTGTGGCTCTGGCTAACGCCAGCCATGCAGCAGTCCTGGCTGACGCCAGTCGTGCGGAGGCAGCCGGACTACGAGTACCCCACATCCTCCCTGAACCGATTCCTGGCTAACGCCAGTCGTGTAGCAGTCCTGGCAAACGCCAGTCCTGCGAGCGCAAGCTGGATTTTGGTTAGCCGCCCCTACCCCACCTGAACTAGCCTGGCCCTGGCTACCACCAGGCATGCAGCAGAGATGGCTGACGCCAGTCGTGCGGAGGCAGCCGAATTACGAGCCCCCCTTACCCCACCCGAACTGAATCCTGGCTAACGCCAGGCGTGCAGTAGCCTTTTGATTAGTCGCCCCGACCCCCCCCTGAACTTGCGCGGCTCTGGCTACCGCCAGGCCTACAGCAGTCCTGGCTGACGCCTGCCGTGCGGAGGCAGCCGAGTTACTAGTCATCCCTTCCCCCCTGAACTGATTCCTGGCTAACGCCAGGCGTGCAGCAGTCCTGGCTAACGCCAGACCTGCGGGCGTCTGCTGAATTAAGCCTTTGTCGCCCCGACCCCCACTCCCTGGCCCTCGTGGTCGGGGTGCTCGTCGGGCCCCTGAAGGGGCCCTTAAAGGCTGCCCCGTGCGTCCCCGACCACTTCGAGAACCAAGGAGGCAGGGGGGTCATCGGCACGGGGCTGGGCAGGAGGAGGAGGAGGAGGAGGAAGAGGAGGAGGAGGAGGAGAAGGAGGAGGAGGAGGAGGAGGAGGAGGAGGAGGAGGAAGAGGATTAGGACGAGGACGCGGAGGAGGATTCGAGCGGGATTCGAGCGTGACGAACGGTTGACAGCCCACATGTGACCTACCCCACCGAATTCCTGCTGGACGCTACGGGCTGTCCCGAGCCAGACACAACAGGACACTGCCTTCTCCCACGGGCGCGGGCCCGGGCCGTAGCTGGCCTCGGGTGCAGGCCGGCCGCGGGCGGCGGGGTGGCCTGCTGCGTGCGTCCGCAGTCAAATTCGGCAGGGCGCGCGAACAG